GGTAAATATTTTGGATAAAAACCCTAATGTGGAAAGAGACCATAAGTTGCTGCCAACATCAAGGAAGCAAGATTGCTAAGGTTGGTCATGTCATTTTGACATTTACTATTGATAATTTGACAAATGAAAACAATATGATTAATTTTTCATAATTTTATGCGGATGAAGTCGCATGGGAACAGCTAGTTAGAAATAAAAAGTTACGTATTCTTTGGTTTATAATGCTTTTAAGTAAAAATAAACATCAAGAGAAAGCACAAATAGCAACTCCCACTAACATTTATAGAAATGCCAATTCTATACATAGAATTCAACGAGGCGGAAAATCCTATCAGTGAGTAGGCGACCTTTAAGCTTGGACTTATAAAAATAGCCGTACAATAATAATCCATTTAAAGGCTTACATCACATATACGTGGGACGTTAGTTATAACCAATCCACTTAAGTTATTGACAGTGAATGAAGCTTTACTTGAATAATCTTTGGACAAACGCGAAACATGATTTTTTTAATATATTTGTGCACGAAGATGATAACAATGGTGATGATTATTCATAATTGATAAAAAGTTTTTTTTTTAATTTATTAATGTTTAACTTTGAATGAACATCGACTCCAGGGGGGGAAACATTTAAGAAAAAGGTCGTTTTGACTAAATATTACTAATATTACGAATGCGAAAGTTAAATTGGATGGCTAAATGTTTGTTACCACGTATCTCCAAAACTGCTTAACGGATCTTTCTGAAATTTGGCATAAATGTAGGCCATAGTCTGGAAGAACACATAGGCCTAATAAAGCTTTTTAATTCCGAGGACAAAGTCACGGGCGACAGTGAATATAGTTATTTTTTACCTGTCGTTTGAAAAAACTGTGGTTCCAGGTCTCTAATCTTGTTCCCCGTGAGTTGTAGCGTGAATACTTTGGAACTGTTGACGGCTGCGGGCACCCTGAGGATGGGTACGTGTTTGCACGTAACTATGCCCAGGTCGCCCGCAGGCTTCGAGCACGTGCAGAGCGCTTGGAAGAGACACGGCGGATGGCCAGTGTCCACGTGTATCTAGAACAAAATGCACCATTAGAAGTTCCATTGTTGTTACATTTGTGTGTATGTGTGAATGATGTGTGAGTGCGGTGTTAGCAATTTGGTGTAGATAAAATTAATTTTGGAATCATACTGAAATGTAGAAATTTAGAGATTACATCTGTTGTGTTACGCTAATGGTTTTTATGTTAAATTATGTCTTTGAAAATTAATGTGGGTATAAAATCTGGCTAATGTAAATATTTACACTGACAACTGCATTCCAGTAGGAATGCTGCTTGTAAAAATGTTCTCGGGGTAATTTCTTTACCTGTTACTCACGATACCAAAGTAAATCACGCAAGACAAGATAGAAGGATGGATTTCGTGGAAGGTTATGAGTACGAAGAGATAGAATTCAAATATGACGGCAGATAGAGATGCATAGAAGAGTAAACTGTGCAGACTCTCTATTTTTTTAAGACAAGAAAACGAACGATCGCACAACAACTTTGTTTAGTTAGTTTGCTTTTTATCTGATAGATAAAGATATCTATCAAATAGAGCTTTGTAAGCATAGAATAAATAAGCTGTAGATCAAATGAATGTTGAGATGGTTGAGTAAGGAAAATGGCAATATTCTGGTAGAAAATATACAAGAAAACATGATATTAATACGACAAGGAAACTATTTCCGAAAGCGTGCCAAATATCGAATATCTTTCTATTTTTTTGTAGAACCTTTTTTTCGACTACGTATCTAATTACTTATTTGTTTGCTCATTTATTTATTTACAGGCTTACAAATAAACGAGGTATAAAGTTTAACTTAGGAATAAACTGAGTATAAGTAAATATTAGTACAAATTTGCTTATACTCAGTTTATTCCTAAGTGTAACTTTATACCGTTTATTTGTAAGGCTGTTAGATTTTATGCTTAAACAGTTATTTTAATACTAGATTTCGCACGCGACTCCATTCGCGTGGTAATAAAAAACAAAACCAAGTATCCTATGTGTTCTTCCAGATTATCCTCTACATCTATGCCAAATTTCATTGAGATCCGTTCAGCAGTTTAGGCTACAAGCATCCATCCGTCCATCTATCCATCTAAACTTTCACATTTATAATATTTGTATGAAGTATGATATTCATTTAATATAACATTTTCCAACCGTAAACTTCAGCAATATAAGCTTCAAAGAACACACCGTTGGTTCCTGGTTATTATGACTGACTACTTCCGTTATGTTAAATGTTATAACCATTTTTCCTACATACTATAAAAATTATGTCATCGATAAGTATTGAAAATAATATAAGTAAAAGATGCTTTGCTTATAAAAGGAAACATTTAAACAGGTGAATACTAAAATAGAAATGTACTTACGAATGTTTTTGACCGACTTCCCAAAAGAAGGAGGTACTCAATTCGTCTGTATGTTTTTTTTTTCATTTGTATTATTCCATAATTCAACTTGGATAAGATATAAAACAGTTAAATGTTTTGCCAATTTCTATTTACGGAGCTATATTACGTAGATGGATTTTCGAGGGTTCTACTATGGAGTGTTATTGGTTTTCTTATTCGACGTAGGGTTGCCATTTGCAAATAAATATTTTAGGAAACTATTTGATCTTGGTAATATATTTTATTTGTTCGATACTTTATAAATGTTACAAGTTATGTTTGTAATAGACTGTTATACTAAAATGAAAAGGGTAATAATTTTTTGCTACTGAATTTTAACTTACGTTTAACGTATAATAACGTAAAATATTTTATAAAATATTCCTGGTATCTAATCGTAGGTTAGTTTGTAAAAGTATTGTATACGATAGTAGAGTAATAGTCTTTATAAGGTAGATGTCACTTGACGAATTCATATATACTAATATTAAAAAGAATAAAGAAGTATTTTTGTATGTATTGAAATAACTCAAAAACTACTGGGCCGATTTAAACAATTCTTACACCGTCAGAAAGGTAATTTATCTGTGAGTAAGATAGACTACATTTTTTATTTCACATGGACGAAGTCGCGAGCAACAGCTATGTTTAATAAAATAAACTTTAATTAGGAAATACAGTATGCTGACAACCCTATTGCTCGTAATAAAGGGAGCAACGTACATTAACAAGCGAACAACGGCATGAGCACGTCTTTTAATTCCAGTAATAACGTTTCAGAGTTATACGTCAGTTGAGTGTTAGGGAATATTTACCTACATTTACATTGGGCACGTTTGTTATTGTGCAATAAAATTGACTCGATACTTTACATGTGAACGTTTAAATATCAAACCACAGAAGTTTAATCAAAAATTACGCTTTAATGATCTATGCCTCATTACGGTCCACTTCAACTAATATAACAAAGAGAGATTTGTATTTTGTATGTAACAAACTCAAATTCTGCTCTCTCGATTGTATTAATCCTTTTGACAGTACAAAGCTAAATTATTGCAGACCGACATAGGATATTTTATTGAATAATTTTTAATCCGAGTGCACTCACGAGTAAAAGTTAGGTTGTAAATAAAAAAAACAGTCGTGTTTTTAAAATCTACTCTTAAAAAATATATTTTAGTATTGGATTTTTTGTTGAGTTTTGTTTTTTAGTGTTGCATTGAGGTTTGATAACATCGACATCATTAAAATTGGAAAAAGTAAACTTTGGTATAAACACATTTTTTCCCTATTTTATGTCTAATCAGAAAGTTTTATAAAATACACCAAAACAGAATCCATAACCAAAACCATACAAAGCCAAACATTTTACAAGAAAAACCAACGAAGCGTTTTCCTAAATTAGTCACAATTAATTCGAAAATCTAACGGAGTTAGTATTTGTTAGTATAACAACAAAAACGATCAAACGTTAATTTTATTAAACTAAATATGTTAACACCAATCAGAACTTGTCGGGTACTTTTTAATTAATCAATGCTCTAAATTTATTAACAGCAAACCCGTTTTGACAGCTGTCAATGGAATAGATAGAAATTAGTGATGGGCACCAAAACATCGATAACATAATCATTCGATAGTTTTTAATTCTTTAATGATCGATAGCTTTGATATACGAATTCTACGTTCTAGTGACGTTTTTATGATGTGAATTCGTTTGAAGTATTTCGTAGCTATCAAAACGGGCATTTAATATCTAGCTGCAATGAATTTCGACAACAATGAATATGTACCAATCAAGTCACCACAATACAACGTGAAACACGAAATGCGAATCATCCGCAGTGGAAAAATACCTTAATAGGTCCTGAATAACACTTGGACCGACGGCAACAAATTAGTAGAGCTATTAGAGGCAGATATAGTCTCTTCATTTTTTTCTTTTAAAAATAGACGGTAAAAGCAGCATTCCGCCAGCCTGCAGCTTCGGTTTGTCGGCTTCAGTTTACTGTATAAAAATTTACACCATATCTTCAATACAAATAAAACTGCCATTATGCCAATGGAATATAATTTTCATTTTTTAATTAAAGTTTTAATCATTTTTAATTTACCTACGATATCAAAACTAATACAGGGTGTCCAAAAACGGAGACATTGGTACCCGAATTGGCATCAATCATCAAAGTACAATTCCTACTAGTTACATGTAGATTTATGAACATCCTGTAGATAGTAAACGATTGTCAAGGAATTACAAAAAATTGCGTCTACTGAATCTAATAAACCATGGATGTGTTAATGAAAATTTGGAATAGTGTTATAAATTTGTTAATAATTATTTTATTCGTACTTACTTCTAATGCTCTCGCCAAAGAGGCCCATATCATCAGGAGTAATGTGACAACGACGAGCATGTAGCCAAACTTGATTATCGCCATCAAACTCTGAAAAAGAAACAAATGCAATAAGTCAATGTCCCACTCTCCTTTAGATGAAGCCTGGTTCCGTTAGGATATAACCAGCTAAATAATTCACTGCTAAAAGCTTCCTTTCAGTTTATTGGATTTAGTAGTTAGAGCGGGCGCACATCTTTGACTAAACTATCACAGAACTGTTGTGCGATTGTCGTTTGTTTCGCAGCAAATTCAACTGTGTAGATCATAACTAAAAATCGAGTAGATAACGCTCCTTCATATAATGTAACAAGAATAAACCGAGACCAAACAGTTGTGCGACAGTTTAGTTGAAGGTGCGCTCATTCTTAGTTGGTCATATTTAATGTATTGAAAAATACCAATTTCAGAATAGGATAAGCTTTTATTACACGTGTAATGTTTTTATTTAACAGTGGTAGTGCCCGCTTTAAGATCTTAGCACGAATAGGCCGGCACGCCCGGTGTAATACCACGACCACACAGAAGACAGACAAGGCGTGAAATGGAAGCAATTCCGTGTTTCGTCTGATGAGTGTGGTGCCGGAGGCCTAATTTAAATCCCTTTCTCTTTACCACCCTTTTCTTATAAGGAGAGGATGGGAACGAAAAAGTGGATTTGACGGTGGAGGAGAAGAATAGGAAAAATATCCTCTTTATGTGCGTCTCCTCCTCCGTCGGGTAAGGGTAGGCAACGCATCTGTAATTGTGGATGTCTATGGGCAGCGGTCGCTTCGCCATTATGGCGTATTCAGGTGGCCGCTTGCTCGTTTGCCACCTTATGTTATAAAAAAAAAACACGTTAGAAAATAGTTTCCATTCAAAGAATTCAAGGTCGTTCACGATTGGCTTTTATATGTAAAGTACCATTCACGTTTTCAAAAATAAAAATATATACTGTGGAGTGAATGAAACGAGACTGTCATAAAGCACGCTCTGTTTTAATTAAAAACAGACAGTGCTATACTGTATAGTTGTGTGGGAACATTTTCTAGGCCAAGTTCACTGGCAAGTACAAACAAAAGGGTACCTACATAAAATGCCGACTGTGGTTCATCCGGATTCATCTACAGTGCAAAAGTTAGTACAAAAAAACCGTGGGTTACTACCTAGCTCACTCATTCTTTTTGGATAGATACGTGTGGATACAAACAGTTAAGAATTGATACTGTTTATAACATAGAATTAAAAAAAAATCCTTAAAAACAGATTTATGCCTTTATAAGCTGTAAATAATAGTGAAATAAAATAAATAAATAGAATTTTTATTGCCACAAAAAACTACATAAGACTTTAATACACAATACCTTAGAGCTAGTATAAAAAGGAAATGTGGCAAAAGGTGGCAAGCTCAGCTAATGCAGGGACGGCGCAGGCTGTTACTGCGCCGGTTTTCAGCTGGCCCCTTTACACATTTTTTCTAGTAATCTTTTTATTTACGTATCTCTTGACTGATTAATTATTAATTAACTACCTGTTGCTTACAACTTCAGCGTCGTGAATTTAAAAAAAATAGTAAAACTATAGCCTATGTTACTCACTGTTAACGTAGTTTTTTAATGGTGAAAAAATGTTTTCTATATACTATTAGTAGATATGAATTGTTTGTTAATCAATGTAGCTATAGAGATCTATAGGTGTGTGCTATCCTAGAGTTCAAACACTTTTACATGCTCACGTGAAGTGCTGTAGGAGTCAAGTGAGGTGTGTGCAATGTCAAAAGCCCTTACAATATGCTCCGATAGGAACTAATGCGAATAAGGTTTGAATTTTTGCAACTATAGGTTTTAGAGGTTAAATTTATATTCAATCTATACGAGTACTATTATAATAAAGCGTAAACACACACTTCTTTGTTGCCTCAGATGTCAGCAATTACAGCATGTTTTTGAATAATTTTTTTTTTAAATAAAAAGCCCAACACTTACGTCACGCTTAAGACTATATACTTTCACGATATTAAACTTAGGGGGTAAATATTTTGGATAAAAACCCTAATGTGGGAAATAGACCATAAGAAGCAAGATTGCTAAGGTTTGTCATATCATTTTGACATTTGCTAATAATTTTACAAATGAAAACAAAAAAGTAAAATATTCATAATTCCTTGCGGGTTAAGCCGCACGGGAACAGCTAGTTAAATTATAAAATTTCAATAGAAATGTAGAACATAGAACATTTTGAATGTAATAAAAACGAAATGCGTATTAAATCAAAACATCCCAACAATCGCATAAACTTTTTTCAAAATCGATCCACTCTTACAATAAACTCTACTACCGAACTAAATCCATTGGGAAATTTTCCCAAATACTGGAAACATAAAGCAATTTCATGTACAAATATTTTCCTGAATCTTTTATTTCATTCAGAAATACGAGTAGTTAGAAAATAGATTTTTTTAAAAATGTATAGTTTGAGAGGAACAATTTCATAATTTAGTAAAGGTAAAGTTATAACCAAAATCAGTTTAACTCTTAAACCTTAACTTGGCAGAATTTTTTTCGAATAGAAAGAATTCGACGGAGTTTTTTGTAGTTAAAAATATTATATGTTACCAACACACTACAATTAAAATCTCACGTATTTTTTTAATTTTTTTAAACAAGTTCAGTAGATTTTTTTAAATTAGTTAGCTAGTCAGATTGGACTTTATCGAACCCTTTTCTTGGTAGTGTATCTGTAGAGATACATCAATTTTTTTCTAAACACTTTGGGTCATCAAGGTTAAGTGCTGTGAATATTATTTTGATATTCGAAAAAATAAAATTCTGCCAAGTTAAGGTTTAGAGCCTGTCCCAGTACTGGCTGATAGAGGTTCAGATAGCTTAAAAAATGACGTCACTGTCAGATAAAGTAACAAAATCCGATATTTCCATAACATATTTTACACGTTAGATTGTTATCGCATAATTTACAATTTGGTGGGACAGACCCTAAAAAAATACTAGATGTATTTTGTGAAGTTGTAAATGATTACCATACTTAACATTATCACACAAAACTGTAATATTTTATTTATTAATTACAAAACTTAATTTAATTACTATTGCAAATATTTGTAACGTCAAAATGTTAATCGTTTTTTTTATTTGAGTTACGATTTAGCATTAACTAATAGCAACACACGTAAATTAATGCGGCTTTAAGTTGCAACGTTTACTGACGTTGAGGCTAACAAGCAGTTAATTGCCGCCTCTATTAGTGCCAAGAAAGAAATGTACACTTTATTTTAGCGGGAAATTATTAAGAAAAAGAAACTAAAAAAGTAAAAAGGTGTTGAATGCTCATTACACTGTTTATAAAATGTAAAACAAACTTTATTTAAATTAGGAATAATATTAATGAAAGCAAGAATAATATTAGATATATTTCATACGATTAAAATTAATATCAAATAATTAAAATAAATGTTAATTAAATTCATGCATGAGAAGAAATAGAGGCTCAAAGTTCAAAAGCTTTTGCCCAAAAAATTTCATTTCAGTTTAAAAAAACATTACAGCAGCTTGCTAACAAGCAAATGCGACACAACGGGCAACAGTCGACGGTTAGTTTGCTTTGAAACACCCGAAATTTTGAAAATCCAAATTGGAAATTAAACTTTATTGCATACTACCGAAAGTTCAGATTTAAACGACCCCCGTGTTTATGAATAGGTGCATTCACTTTACATATTTTTGTTGCGTAAAATTCACAGGAACATTGTGGTTGCGTAAAATTTCGCCTTTTCCTATCTACACAGGAGGTTAGTTTTTTTTAATTCAGCTGACTCCAGCGGGATATGAAGACTTTCTTGTTTAGAGTAATGTTAGACTGCATTCATTCTGACATAAATCTTGGACAAAAATATACAAGAGTGCAAGAAAAACCACATATAAGAAATGAAAAACCACAAACGCTTTGTAACTATGGGTTTTTATTGACGACTAGCTGTTGCGACTTCGTTCGTTTAATTTAAAATATTTTTATAGATATGTTCATACAAAAATGTTGTCATCATTTTCTCTTAACTTAAGGCATATCCCACCACAGATAGAGGCTCAGATAGCTTAAAAACTTGAAAACTCGATATTTCCATTACATATTTTACACGTTGGATTGTTATCAGACAATTTACAATTTGGTGGGACAGGCCCTTAGACAAATATATGTTGGATGGATGTTTAACAATGGAAATCTAAAGGAAATTCATAAAACGAATTGTATAATATTTAAAACACTCATTTTACAAGTTCCAATTATTCATTATTAAAAGTAAAATACATTTACATACGGTAAATTTTAATTAACACATGAAGCGTATGTTAAAATAAAAACAGAATCTTTGAATTTGCATACAGCGGGCGTGCGCGTTCATATTTTTACATTTTGCTTTAATCTCGTTATTTGCCTTATTTCGTTGTAACATGAGACATGTTCCATCATTAATTGATTTAAGAACCAGTTGCTATTTTAGTTGCATTCTGAGAGTTATTTCTTTGTTTTTCACATCTTTATCATTACCACCAATTATAAATCCCCATTGAGGGGCTCGGAGTCTACCTTAAGTTAAGGTGACTTAGTCACATCTTACGTGCGAAAGTTTAGATGGATGGATGTTTGCTATATGTACATTGTACCCTAAACGGCTGAACAGGTCTCGATGGTATTTGGCATATATAGAGGATAGTCTGGAAGAACCTATAGGCTATTCACTTTTGTTTTCTTTTTAAATTACACGTGGAAGGAGTCACGGGCGAAAGGTAGTTTCTATAAGTTTTTAAAATATTTACGTATCGAATAATTTTTAAATTGGACCATAAAAATGTTTCTTCAATGAAAATATGAATAGCGCATCAAAATTATTTTTCGATGAAGCTCGTCTGGCGAGGGAAATGGGCCGGTTTCCATCGCCTATGGGTTACTGCTTTTACGTCAGCCTACTGCTAGGTGACCTAAATACTACGTTACCTGGGAAATAGGTACCTTGGCACCCTAATAACGTATTCAAAAGTATTTTTATCAATTTT